CAGGCCTCATTGGCCTGCGCAAAGTATTATTATTATTAACGTATTTCCCCGCTTATAAGTCGTGCCCAATTATAAGGCACACCTTCATTTCCAGGTTTGAGCGATCGTGTTTTGATACAAGTCACATGAGAACTATTCACTTCAGTACTAAAGCTGTGTTCCCAACTGGTGCGTGGACGCGGTACGCTTGCGGTTCATGCGTGCCAAAACGCACGCTCAGCCTGTCACAAAAAAACAGCAATCCGAGTCGTATTTAGCGCGTGCGACACCTTCAAGTACTAATTTTTTGACCCCGCCAGTCAAAGTGACTGTCATATACGCTGGTCCGCGCCTGATACGCGCTGAAAACTCCAACATGTTGGAATTTCCATTTCGGCGCGTTACCGTACGCATGGCGCCCCAAAAGCCAACAAACATACGCACAAACACGTGGTTTCACGCGTACATGCGCCAGTTGTGAGCACAGCTTACAGTGCATTTCAAAACTATAGACGCGTAGGGTTTTTGAAATATTTCAAATTTGGCTGGAACGTTTTGAGAATAGTTTTCGGAATATTGCTCAGGATCGCTCCACAATTACTCTCATATAGTTTCTAAACGATTGGATAACAGACGCCCAATTTGGAAAAATTTATGCACAAAGTGATCACAGATTTTATGTGGTATAGATGCTGGCATAACGGTTTTTGCCTAGGTACGCGTCTATAGTTTTGAAATGGACTGTAAGTCTCGCTCGACTGTAAGTCACACCCCCTTTTTTACCCTTGAGTTTTAATGTAAAAAGGTGCGACTTATATTCGGGGAAATACAATATTATTTATTTTTCATCGGAAGCTTAACAGTGCAGCAACACAAATATTAAGAGGCCGATGGGGCAAAAATAAAAATAGTAAATATTTAAAAGGGGGAGGGGAGGTAGGATCAGTAGTTTTCGAGCTCCGTAGTTTTTCGCAGGTTTTGTAGGAGCCAGCCGGCAGCAGGCCGGTCTGGAGCAGGGTAGGGACTGGATAGTTTAAAATTAGGTAGTAGATAGTTAGAGCGTTCCAAAATGCCCACATCCGGTGAAAATCGCAGTTGGAATTCGGTCTCTCCGAAAGTTCTAAAGAGGAACACGGGTACTTTCCACGTTCCACTGCACACGAAAACCCTCGAAGTTGCTGAGGCCCTGATTGAACATGGCTACACCGACCTGATATCCGTGCAGCTGACTAGTAACTTGAGCTGCAAGGCCACGTTTCATTCCCGAGACACTCTGACACGACTTTGCCGAAACGGTTTCCATCTCATGTCAGTGGAAGTGCGCGTCACTCAACTGGTGCCTGATTCCGTGGAAATCCAAATCCACGATGTGCCCATCTGGGTCCAAGACGACGTTATTATCGAAAGCCTGGGTGTCTTTGGATCGGCCGTTGGGCCTCTTCGCCATGGATTTGTCAAGACGAAATCAGGGCTCGCCATTGCCACTGGTGTCCGCTTCGCCACATTCTCTCTTCGCCCCAACATGCAGATTCCGTCGTATGTGAAAACATCTACGAACAACTTGTTTCGTGTACGCTACGAAGGCCAGCCTGCAACCTGTCGTAAATGCTCCCAACCGGGACACATCGCCGCAGCTTGCAAACTCGCCACAGGAACGACATACGCGAAGCGAACCGCGCACACCAGAACAAGCGCGACTGCAACTGTCGGAGTGCAACCTGGTGAACTTACCGTACAGACCGGAGTCCAAAACGAGTCGCCAGACTCGGCACGCTCCAGCAGCAGCACTGCCAGCAGGCCCAGCACCAGCCCGAGCACTCTCTCGAGTATTGGATGTAGTACGAGTGCAACTCCTGTGGGGTCAAATGTTGGAGAACCCGCAGTCAGCACTGAAGTGTTCGAAACGGATTTGAATTTGAAAACTACGAAAGTCGATGAGGGGCCTACTGAGGTTACTTCAGCGTTGAAAAACCTGACAGATACTGAGCCAGACATGTCGTCCGCACAGGGATCGCTGTCAAGCATGACAGCACACCCCAGAACTCCCCTCGCGGACGTCGAAGTAGACATTGCAGAGCGAGATCTAGAACGGACAGAGAGACTCCTATCAGAAGTGGCATCAAACATCAACACCGAAGCGATCCACACTTGGTTCACGCCTGAACGTCGAGGCAGGAATGCCAGCACTGAGTCCTCACCAGAGTTGGCAACTGGGGTGAAGAAGAAGGATTCCCGGAAACCAACAAATCTAGCTCCAGGCTCACGATTTAGTCCGCTTGCCAGAGTCTAATCGTGACTTGAAAAAAAAAAAAAAAAATGCAGAACTATAACTATAATGTAACACCCACAGCACCACCTACCTCCTCGACCCAGTCACTCAGTGTGGGATTTCTGAATGTGTGTAGTGTTCGGCGGAAGGTAGCAGAAGTTCAAACGTTCATCTCAACACGAGGCATTCACGTTCTCGCAATAGCCGAGACATGGTTGACTCCGGATGTGTCCGATCAGGAGTTGTCCATCCCGCACTTCAAGCTATACAGAAGAGACAGACCTGATCAGCGAGGTGGCGGAGTTGCTGTGTACTGTCATGAGTCACTGGCTGTTCGACAACGGGCCGATTTAGAGTGCGAGCTAGAGATGCTGTGGCTGGAGATTCTAGCCCCGGGTCGACATGGAACGCTCCTCGGCTGTTGTTATCGGCCGCCAAATAGTTCTGCTGCCTACTGGACCGCACTGGATCAGAACATTGAGCAAGCTGTTCAGGGATGTCAGCAATCCACTGTGCTACTTGGCGACTTCAATGTTGATTTTAGCAATCCAACTTCTCCATCTGCATCCCCTTTGTACAACATTCTTTCCCACTACAATCTCTGCAATTATGTTACATCTCCAACACGGGTCACGGCAACATCATCCACGATGCTAGATTTGTTCCTTTCAACCTCCCCATTGGATGGTACCTGTGAAGCAATACACTTAGACATAAGTGATCACTTTGTTGTGCTGGCCCGGCTGAACATTCACACACACCAGCACGTGTCATCGTCAGTGAAAACCACCAGACGTCTCCATCGAGTAAACTGGGACAGTTTCAGTATCGACCTCCAGAGGAAACAGCAGCAAGACTTTGATGCCCACAGCAATATCCATGATATGGTTCATTCTTTCACTTCTTCTATCATGTCCACACTAGACCAGTATGCACCATTGGTACCCCAGCGTAAACGCGCACGCCGCCCGTGCCCCTGGCTGACTGATGAGCTTGTGGGTGCAGTTCGTAAACGTAATCATTTACACCGGCTCCTCATGAGAGATCAAGCGAATGTACAATTGCGTGATCAGCATAGAGAAGCTCGGGCCATGGCCCGTCGACTCGACAGGAAGCTGCGCAACCAGTTCTTCACTGAACAATGCCGAACGAGTGACCAGCGCAAACTGTGGAGAGTGTTGAATGTTGTAACTGGTCGTCAAAAGAAAGCCCAGGTCCCACAGGCATCCCTACAGGATCTCAGTGAAACATTTGGTAGTGTCGTACATGACCCAGCGCGTCCCGCCACTCTTCAAGCTCCCTTGGGACCAACCCAACAATGTGGTTTCTCTGCTTTCCAGCCAGTCGCAGTTTCTGCCGTCGAGTCCTGCTTGAGTTCTGTGGACCCAAGTAAGGCGACTGGCAGTGATGGTGTGCCTGGCCTACTTCTACACAAGTTCTCCTCAATATTGGCACCCAATCTCACCAAAATTATCAACTATTCGCTCAGAACAGGCCAACTTCCTTCCACCTTCAAATCCTCACATGTCACCCCTCTGTTTAAGGGTGGCGACCCAACCTCACCTACAAACTACCGCCCAGTTTCCCTGCTACCCATCATCTCCCGTATTCTGGAGGCATTTGTAAAGAAACAGCTCACCACCTATCTCGAATCAGCCCACCTTCTACCCACCAGCCAATTTGCCTATCGTAAACAACACTCCACAGAGGATGCACTTGCCCTCGCAGTCAACAGATGGTCTCTAGCCAAATCTCGACGAGAGTACACCGGAGTTGTGTTCGTAGATATGTCGAAAGCGTTTGATCGCGTTCAGCACGAGCGTCTTCTGACTGAACTCTTCTCTTTTGGCATATCTGGTACTCCACTCACTTGGTTTGCTGATTACCTCTCAGGCCGCTTCCAGCAGATCAGAGTTCAAGGACATCTCTCTCCTGCCGTTTCTTGTTCTCGTGGTGTCCCACAGGGCAGCGTTCTTGGTCCCCTGCTATTTGTCTTGTACACTAGCACATTGAGCACGATCCTGCCACCGGCGGTAAACCACCAAGAATTTGCGGATGACATTACTCTCGACTGCTCAGACACCGACCCCACTGAAGTATGCCGAACCCTCAGCCACGCAATCACAAGCCTCGCCACGTGGCTAGAAGATATTGGTTTGCTGCTGAATGCAGCAAAAACTCAGCTTCTCTTCATAAAGCCCCGTGGCGCAGATGACACACAGCCTGAGGTGTTCTGCCATGCTGACAAACTCGCTATCACACCTTCGGCTAAGTATCTCGGGGTAATACTCGATGAGGAGCTGTCCTGGAAGCCCCACATTGCACACCTGAGCCGCAAGACTGCTAGGACCATTGGCCAGCTCTGGAGGCATGGCCAAGGACTCAGTTTGCGCGCCAGACGCACTTGGTTCCTCAGCATGGTCCTCTCTCAGCTATGCTATGGTTCTAATAGTTTTGTTCCTGGGCTTTCTGCCCAGTTGCTTGGACGTCTGGAGAAGAGTTTCAAAGCCGGCATTCGCGCAACCTTGCAACAGCGCTTTCTCACCCCCACCGCACCGCTTCTGGCACTTCTTAGTATAGTCAGCCTGGCACACACATACACTCAGAAAGTTCTAATCTTTGTACACCGCTGTATCAATGGATACTGTAGCCCACTCCTACAGCAACTCTTTACAACGACTGCTCCAAACACCGTGCTAAACGATCAGCGCATCACTAGGGGCCAAGTTTCCAACTTGCTCCAAGTCCCTTTCCTTCGCGGGCCTGCTGGTCGCTCGAGTATGATGTTTCACGGCAGTATTGCATGGAACGCCCTCTCGGCTGATGTAAGATCGATAACTGCTGCCGATCAATTCAAGAGAGCCCTATCTGATATTGACGTACTTAACTTGTAAACTCTATGCCAACAGTCCAACACCCCTCGCCGTACTTCATGTTCCCTGGACTGCTAAAAAGTGTCCCCATCCAACTAAGTCTGCCAATGTTCACACATATATTCTCATGAAATGCTTCCACTACATTTTATTTGTTATCACATTATAAAAAAATTCACACAAATTGAGTGTCAGCATACACACAATGTCATAACAAACATTTCTATAATAATAATCGTACCGCTTGCATGTCTTTATCTCTATACATTTCCTCATATAATTTTCTTCATCTTTCTGTGAGAACCGGACCTATAGGCCGGTAAGAAGGCAATCATGCCTGTGCAATTGGTGAAGTAAAATAAAAGTCAACAACAACAACAACAACATGACGAGAAAAGAAGGAATCCTACCTGCCAGTATTCTTGCTTTGACTTGCCGCAAGGTGACCAGCCACCGTAGCCAATGTGGGTATTGAGCCGTGCGTCACCCGGATTATACGTGACGGTTGCACCCTTCGGCTTCCGCAGCTTCCTGCTGTAGGATGACGAGGCGGTGATCAGCTGTGACGAGAGCAGGCCCGTCGCCACGCCAAGCTCCGTGTCGCACGGTGCTGATGACGGCTGTGAGTGTGTGAACGAGACGACGCTCAGTAGCATCAGGATCAGTACTACTGTTGAGTACAGGAACAAAAACACATGGCACTTAGTGACTCAGACCCGGACAGGGTAGACTGTACCAGTAGAGGCATAGTAGTTGCTGCTGTGTTCTCCTTTATTGCATATACATGTACATACTGATAGGCATGCCAGAATTGCTTAACCCCCCCCCCCCCTCTGAAGAACCCAGCGTACGCCCCTGGTAGTGGGCCAGTTAATCAGGTCATGACCGGACCCACTTGTTGGCCATCAACGTACGTGTACTGCTTAGAAGGTCATGTGTACCTGCTATATCATACACAAACTGTATGAAAGGCTATGGGATGGCAGGACCAGTCAAAAACTGCTTCCGGCAGTCCTGAGTTTAAAAGCATGTTCAGTATAGATTCGGATGGTGAGCCAATTAAATTATTGTGAAAAGAAGAAGGACAAAATGTTACGAGCTATGACTAACTGTCCACCAACGTAACCAGATCTTATACAGTCAGCGACTGCGACAAAATGGCACAAAACTGACAAGGAGTACTTACACATTCGGCGACCTGACACCTAGCTCCAACACTTCTCCAAGGCGCAAACCAACAGCCTTCCAACTTGGAAGGCTCCGGTTCGGAAAGGTCCAAGAGGGGAAGGAAAGTGCAACGAAGAACAGCACGAGCTACGCATCACGGCAACAAAGAATGCCGAAAGTTACTGGATGATGACGAAACTAGTAAGACATACCGGCCTTACTACAACTCGACGACGCAAAGCAACAGACCACCCAACTTGGGAGGCTCAAGTTTATGTAATAAACGTAGAAAGGGGAAGCTAAGCGAAGACGAATTGTGACAAACCGAAACGTCAACATCCTACTGAACTCCACTATCATTTTGCCATTTTGTCGGACTCGCTGACTGTCTAAGATCTGGTTACGTTGGTGGACAGTTAGTCATAACTCGTAACATTTTGTCTTTCTTCTTTTCAGTATAGATTATAGGCCACGTGGAGACCGCTGAAGTGCTCACACACCAGCACAAGTCTGCAGTAAGAAATGAGTTGGCTTTAGTTACAGTAAAAGCTGGTGTAAGCGACCTCTGGGTTTAGCGACCTCTGGGTTTAGCGACCACCTGCTCTTAACGACTGTTTTCCATGCACGGACAGTTCTACACAGAGACTGTGGGACCTGGTTCTAAAGACCACCTGGCTTTAACGACCGTTTTTGCTTGCACCGTGGGGTGGTCACTTAAACCAGGTTTTACTGTATTTTGTGTATCCTCAGCGCATCTATACTCGTATGTCTCTTATTCGGACATCGAAGGTACGGGCACCTCGGTCTACCGGGAACCATGTGGGTGACTTTTAGTGGTAATATTACTACTCTTTTGCCAAATGTTAGTGGAAATAGTGACACCCTAATGCCAGATCTCTGTCTGGCCTTTCTCCATTGAAGCTTGTGTGATTCAGAGACACAGTACGAACATTTCAAAGCTCTGGGCAGTGTCCAGTCGCACACCGCCCGCATAAACGAGATTTGAGTGTAGGCGTATGTTCAGAATAGATGATAGACCAGGTGGATACCGATGAAGTTCCGAGATGCATGCAAATCTCTAAGAGGAAAGGGTTCAACTACAGTTGTTTAATCCCCAGGTCACCAATTTAGTTGAGGGAATTCGTTCAGAGATAACATCATGGTAGTAGACCCACTTTGAAAGTAGACCTGGATTGCTCATTTCGCCTAACCCCCCAAACATGCAGTTCGGTATCAAGTTTGACCAGGGCATTTCATCCCCTAGAGGGGTTATAATTATGTCAGTGTGACCGGGGGGGGGGGGGGGGGGGGGGGGGGGGGAGGGGGGATAATACGGTAAATGACCCCCCCCCCCCCCCCCAATCCATGAATCTGTCATGATCATGACAGATTCATGAAGCCCAAGCGTGCAAGAAAACTTGACTTCATTACTCTGGGAGATATGCGAACTGTTTTTATCCAGAAGTCTGAGCGTGATGAAATGAGAGAAAAAAAGGCTGAACCACCTGTCCACAAGCCGGGCTGGAGTTCCAGATATTCAGGGCTAATCAATACTGCCGACTCGACTGACACGCTCGAACAAAAAGTTGTCAAAAACTATAATATAATAATTGATGATTTTGCTTTGGCCCTCGCTTCTTACTACAGTAAAACCTGTAACTAAAGAACACCGTGACTAGCGATCAGCCGGGTACTACAGACCACTTCGCCAGGCACGGACGGTCTCACGTTCATATTATGGTTGCGCGGTGCAAACCTCTAACTAAGGACCACCTGCCACTAAAGACCGCTTTCTCTGGCCCAAGGGGTGGTCGTTAGTTACAGGTTTGGTGTATCGATGATTTTGCTTTGCCTCCCGGACGGTCGAAATCTTACGAAATTTCGTTGTGCGCAACCTCTCTATTACGTGCATACAATGGTACACAAACTCAGTACAGTGATATTTTGAAAAAAATTATTATTTATATTCTCACCTGAAACCACGAATCGCCATGATGCCATTGATGGAGTCAAACCTAATCGCCGCACCATTGTCAAGGCTGCAGCGGCTGCATCTGGCTTCGCGCACGTAACGACTGCTGCCGCTGCTTACTGATAGGGCTCGGTAGCCGGCTCTCCACTACTCTCCTCGCTGGCGTGGCAAGAAGCAAACTATGGTAATCATGCAGTTTAGGGTCCCAAATTATTTCGCACTTTCCCAGTGTTCAGTGTACTGTCACACGCGTTTTCAGTGTACTTTCACATCATGAACTTTATTTTCATGAAAACCGAGGACAGGTCAGACTGGGTACTGCTGGTGAACACAGCGGAGCAGGGAGCCGAACGTGTTGTCTTCCGCGCGAACTCTCTGTCTCCACACGAACTCGCAGAGGTACGTCGGGAACAACTCTCGCGAGGTGCCGAAGTTGCGCTTCAGCTGGCGCTTGGCCCGCATCCACATGTTTTCCACGTTGTAGGTGTGGATCGTTCGGTCGTCCGGATCAACAAAGTTGTCGTCGTGGACGACGCGTGCTGGTATGCCACCGTCGATGTTCCTGATCTGCGCGTATGCGGCCCAGCCGTCAGAGATGATGCGTGAGCCAGGCAGAATCCACAGGAAACAAAACTTTCACACGAGAAAAGAAGAAGCATGGTGAAAGTACACTGAAAACGCGTGTGACAGTACACTGAACACTGGGAAAGTGCGAAATAATTTGGGACCCTAAACTGCATGATTACCCAAACTATTACAATGAACTAAGTTGTTACCGGTAGATGTACTAGCTGAAGAAGCGCAACAGTGGCCTTCATATTCGTAGCCTTCTCGACTCACACACCTACACTGTACGAACTTACTTGTGCTGCCGTAAACGACGCGGCAAAATACTCGGCAGAAAGACGTGACACAGTACTAGCGTCTTCGAAACAACCCCATTTCTGGGGCCCTTCGTAAACTAATTATCTGGCAGACATGCCAACGCACTACTGTGCATGCATTCCATCGTGGATCATGTGCATGAAAATAAAATGAAGACGGGAGACAAATCCAGAATCTTGGCACGGAGATATCGGGCATGGCCCGGCATGCAGTGTATTTCTAGTCTCGTGGCGTGACGTGCACGCAACTAGCTAACTCCCGTCTCCACACCCTAGTAGTAGTAGTGCTCGGGCATAGCGGTTCGGCCTTCGTCGCTACAAAAGTCATGTCCAGCTGTGTTGCTAGCGTGACGGCGGGGCGATTAGTCTTTGTAGACTGTCATTAGACTAGAGTGTAGAGTCACTGAGTGTCAGTATCGATGTGATCACATGGTCATAATATTAAATTTTATTATTATGGCGGTTGGGGCTGAACCTGAGAGTGTGGAATCACCGAAAAAGGAAATCCACTCTGCCAGTACAATCATGTAGACATGATTGTATTACTGTCCAATCCATTCAAAGAGGGTAGGAAGAGATAAATGCTTTGTGTCGACCTAAATAATTCCCCTCATTCGCGGCGTCACGAACATGGTCGACGTTCGGTAGTATGTGCGCTTGAAAATACAGAATAGCCGAAGCACACACCAAGAGAAACACTCTGTGATACTGATTTATAGACGTTAGCGTTCCGACAAGTAAAATGTCTTCTTCAGAATGATGTTGGGGAATGGGGACGAGGGATTTTTTAAAACTTCGGCCAGACTCCATGTACTGCAGTGCTGGCAACTGAAATCCGACCCCTTAGCGATGGGTT